GATATTCTTTGTGGCTACAGAGGCATTGTTTCCCTTCTTGTATTCAAACAGCATTACATGCTGAATGTGTGTCTCATCGTGTGCCATCACCATAAGTGATTTGAGTATACTAAACTTTATACATTATATAGGTTACACTAAAGTGATGTTTAGGTGATTCACGTAACTATTATACGTGATGTACATTTTTTGAGGGGTGGTTAATGAAAGTGTTCCAAAATGCAACATTAATTTCTTGATGACCTAATACTTCCTTTTACTGTTTATGTTAGTTTGTAAGTTCTTTTTTTCTTCATTACTAGTCACATCTAATTGGGGATTAGATTTGAGCCCAATTTTGTTATTGTTAACTGGGTGCCTTTTCTCATGTTCTTCAGGGTAGGTTGTACTTTCATGTTCTTTGTCCTTTTGGTTCTTTGAGTGGACTTATAAGTTTGATATGTATGTATCTTTTATCTTCTAAGTTCCTTTAGTGGTTTTGTACTTTACGTGTTGTTTATTGTTTGAGGTTGAATTTCATAGTTTGAAAGTTCGTTATTTTTATGTATTTTGTTGACACTACAAATTTCATGGTTTTGTTAGTTCTTTAGTAATGAATACTTTCTCTATCCATGTTTAGTTTGTGTCTTATTGGCTACACTTCACGACAGTTCCATGGGTTCTATGTGTTCTGTCTGAAAGTTTCTGCCTTCAGTTCTTCTCCCCCTATCTACTACCCAGATATCCTTCCCTCCTCCTCAGGTTCCAGTGGTCTTGTCTAGTTTTTTCAAGATCTATTAGTCAAAGGGGCTGTCAAATATGTGGTACCCACTCAACAGGAAATTGGAGACCCTTAATAGACCTGTCCCCAGTTGAATTCTTATCTGGAGACACCTTGCTTTTCCATGGAATATTACCTCTCACTTCAGGATTTTTTTCCCTGAAACTCTGGATGACCAAATCATTCAGATGGATGCCTATCTTCATATTCCAACTGCTCCAGTGTCACGTCATTTTCTTCTGTTCATCCACAAGGGTTCGATCCTTCTTCAACTCTGTGTGTTTTGTCGAGTGATATACTCTTTTGCCAATCATTATCAGATTCTCCTTTTCCTGAATGACTGGCTTCTGCTTGCCTATTCCCATGGCCCATCTGTCAATTGCACCTGCTTACTTCTTCAGGAAGATAATTGGGTAGGGTTTTCTCATCAACTAGGAGAAGTCCCTTATTACCCCACACTGTATCTTATTCATCTAGGGGTTCTCTTCAATTCCCATCTCAGTCAGGCCCAGCCTTCTCTACTCTCCAGGATATGGAGCAAGCAGCTATGAAGGCCTTGCCTTCTCTTTCTGCATGAGAGGTTCTATCTCTTTTGGGGATGCACTCATTACTTTCCCTTCAATGGACACTTTTCGACTAGTGAAACTTCTCCCATAATCACTTGGACCATCTCATCACTCTACCGCCTGGGATCAGGGAAGACCTTGCTTGGTGGCTCGACAGGGACTTGACCACAGTGAGACTTCCCATTCCTCTGACTTGCCCCAAGTCTCATTTGTTCATAGATACTCCCTTGGTGGGTTGTGGACCTTTCCTTGTTTTCTGAGAAATTTCTGGTCAGTGGTCAGCTGAGGAGGCTACTCTCTATATCAACATCCTAGAACTTTTGGTAGTTCATCAGGCTCTGTCTTATTTCCTCCCACTCCTGAAGCGGTGGGTGGTTGTTGTTCATTCTGACAATTCCACTGTCATCAGCTATATCACCAAGCAATAGGGAACCAAGTCCGGATCTCTGTGTTTTCAGACTGCAGATCTCATGTACTTGGCCAACAATCATGACACGATGGTCCTGACATGTCATGTTCCCAGAATTATGTATCTTGTGGCCAATCACATATCTTGTCCCAACCAGGTTCTCCCCATGGAGTGGTCTTTTCGATCTCAGGTATTTTGGTTAGTGTGTTCTCAACTGGGAACACTGCATACAGATGCGTTTGCCACTTACTGGAATGCCAAATTTCCTTCCTTTTGGCCTCCAGTTCTACATCCCTTAGCTCTGGGGTGGATGCATTCAGTCAAGATTGGAGGGGTTATCACCTATATGCCTACTCTCCCATCAGACTCCTCTCCAGTATCATTTCCCTTATGCAGACCACTCCTTGTCATGTTCTGCTAGTTACTCTGTATTTGCTGGATGAGACGTGGTTCTCTCTGCTCTGGCCCTTACTGGAGCAACAGTCCCAGCCCTTACCTCTGTCCTGTTCACTCCTCTGACAACTGAAATTTGATGTATTTCATCTCGACATCACCAAACTCCATCTTCATGTGTGGCTTTTATCAGCTACCTTGCCTCAACTCAGGGACTCACCCTTCATGTAGTGTCTTTCTTTGCCCTTACCCTTCGACTTTCCTCCTTGTCTGTGTACCAAAAGCATTGGTCTTCTTTCAGAATTTGGTCCATTCAACGTGGCTATCGCCCATCCTGTCATTCTGTTCCTCAACTGTACCAGTTCTTCACCTTGTTATTTGTTCAAGGTTTGTCCATGTCAACTGTTGCTAGTTATAGGGCTGCCCTATTGAACACCTCCCACTCTGGAAAGCCTTCTCCTTACCTGTTATTTCCCTCCTTTTCCATTCCTTTCTTCTGGTCTGTCCACCACGTCCCTTTGTTTTGCTGGATTGGGATCTCAATGTGGTCCTTCATGCCCTGTCCAGTTCTCTCTTTGAACCTATTGCAACATATTCCTTGTACCATCTTTCTCTTAAGACCTATTTCCTCTTCCTCCTAGCATGTGGTCATTGTCTTTCTGATATTTATGCCATTAATGTGTCCTGCATCCTTTACCATTCCTCATGTGTTATCTTCTATCTGGATCGGACCTTCCTTCCCAAGACATTGGCTGCCAAGGAAAGTTATTTAGCCTTTTCTCCTGTTTTCTTACCTTCCATTTCCCACCTATAGTCCCATTTGGATCATGGATCGACTACTTTGTCAAGTTCATTCACTGCAATGTTATGTGGCTCTTACTGCTTCCTTTCATGGTTCTCATTCCCGTGTATTTGTGCCATGGAATTCCTCTGTATCCTGTGATCTTTCAACTATTAATCTCACTGGTTTGGCTTGTCAACTCCTACAACTGACGTATTCTGACTAAATAATGTTTCTTCACACCAAATTCATCATCTAACTATGTATTTTGCTGCTCGATTCCACTGTCCTTTAGAGGAGATTGTTCAGGCTTGTATGTGGACAACTCCCAATACATTTGTTGCACATTATTTGCATGACCTAGCTGTGTCTTCCTCCTCTAGCAATTCTACCCACATTTGTTTGCCTTTGACTTGGATAAGTTGACATATTATTATTATTATTTATCTTATTTAATGAAATTCTTTGGGGGTGCTGATTGTTGGAATTACCAGATATTTAACTGCAAGTCTGCAAACTTTTGGGTACAAATGGGCATTATCTGCCCAGAATCTTAATGGGTCACATTGTAGATGTAGAGAGCGAGTGGCCATGTATTTATTCACTTGCTCTTCAGCAAACATTTCAGGAGATTTCTGTACTGTGGACACATTCTTATTTTAGTTAATAAACATCAGCAATTTTAAACCAGCAGTGGTCTTTTTCTTCATTGGAAATTCTTGAACTTTCTGAGCACTGAAACTACATGAAGGTGTCCTTTCCTCATTTGAATAACTTTACTCATTTATTTATTTATTTAAAATAAAAGAAACCTTTGACATGTATCCAATCATTGGTCCACTGTATAATATTGAATGATGAATTTAGTTACTATATGGTGAAGTGAAACAGACTCAAAACTACCTAGATATGATCTTTAAAATGTTCTGAAGGATTCCCTTTTTGCATGATTTGACATTCGTTTATGAACTTAAGAAGAGGTATGAGTATGCTGGCTTTCAGACTATCAGATCTTCCCATGTTTTTATGTTTTAATAATAATATCTTGAGAAATGGATGCAACCTTTAGATGTCTTATGGCACATGTTAAGTCATATAGGTCCATTCAAATGGAAGGATTACTCATGATCTAAATCATCACAAGATCAAGTCACAGAACAGTAGATTGGAAAAAGAGCAAACCTTTGTATCTTCTACAGTTTAACAGATTATTATGCTATGGCATCCGTTGATACGTAAGATTTTGAATTAGATATTTTTTTATCTATTTTTTTCTCATGGTCTTTTTGTAGGATCGAGTTGACAGTTTACAGTTTAGCAACAAAAGCTCTAGATTTATTAGTGGAAGTAAAGATGGCACAGCTCGCATATGGTGGTATGAACGACAAAAATGGAATACCATTTGCTTGAAAATGACAACTAAGCTTCCAGGGTAAGTTTCTTTGATACACTAAACTAAATCTTCTAAATTTAAGAAAATGCTTGTGTCCATTCAGTTTTTTAATTGCTTAAGCAGTGTATAAATGACTTATTCATAGTTTCAAGGACATTTCGATAAATGTCATTGAAACAAAGATTATAAATATTGCGCATTTACACATCTAAAGTTAAACATCTCCAAATTCGTTTCAGTTGCTCCATATCCATTCCAATACATAAGGGGAAATTTTGTATAATCTGATACTCCTACAGTTTTTAATAATACTTTTCCAAACTTTGTCAGAAGTTTATTTTGTGAAGCAACTTTGAGCTTACCTCATGTGGACCATTTCTCCCCTAGACCTAACAGGAAAGTTATCAGTATTGCTGTAATTCAAATCTTACAGTATTGCTATTATTTACACTAGCAGAAATGCTCCCCTAAGGGTGGCTGTTTGTGCTAGTAATTACTAATCATAGTAATAATACATCATTGAAAAAATTTAGAAAACGTGTCAGAGTTATTTTATCCTAGCTGGGTGGCTGAATACCATATTTCTTCCATTCATGAACAAGCCAGTTCTTTTTCTCAGACATTTTCACCTTTATCTGAAGAGCAGGGTTTACCAGCCAGTTCTAGTTCTGGTGAACTTTTTTCTCCTTTTTTCCCAGGTTTGCAACCTTTTAAATGCTGATCTCATTTCTGTTACATCTGAGGTATCTAGGTTGTTGTTACTGGATGCCATTTTGAAATTTTTATTTCTTCCCACTTCTCCTGACATTCAGGTTATAGTTAATGCTTTTAGAACTATTGGTACTTTTTTGCCATGTATTTCTAATTTTTCTGGTCTCGAAGTGAGGTTTTCTTCTTCTGTTCATTTATCAATTGATACCGTAGGTCTTTGAATCAGGTTTCAGGAGGTTCATCCATATTGTCTTCCATCTTTTCAGTACATCTAATTTTCTGTCTTACTTATTCAGTACAGTTACTGGCTGCTTAGGAGCAGGTACAAGAATTAAATGTTTCTCTGGCTCTAACACTTACTGATTTGTTTTCTGTTGCCATGTGACTTGCATGTTATTTTGAGATATTTGCCCATAGAGCTATTTTGCATGGAATTCATTTTTCTCTCAATATTTCTGATAATCTCCAATAGACCCCTGTCTTGCAATATTTTGTTTTTGCTGGTATTTCTGAATTCGTTTCTTAGTCAGATGAAGCTTAGCAGAAGGAGCTGAATTGGTCTTTAACCTCGTGTATTACTTTGAGTCAGTGTCCTACTATTTTACATCCAGGTGGAACTAGTTGTCCTCCTGCATTATCTACTTTTTCTGCTGCTTCTTTTCAGCCTTCTACTTCTAGTGTTTCTCATTATTTTTGTTCCTTTGGTGTTTTGAAGTGAAGATACAAGAGGGGTGGGCCATTTTGTCGAAGACATTGACTTTTTTCCTTTTTATGTGGCTCTTCCTCTGTGCATTTTGGGGGCTATTTGATATCATTCATTTATCTGTTGAAACTTTGGCCTTGGACAACTGGAGTTAAAAGATTATTTAGTTTGTTTTTTTGTATCAACTTTCAACAACCTCCAACTCTTTCAAACTTCCAATTTCTTTCCTCCCTTCATACATTCCACTTCAGGTTTAACTTTTGGAAGAGGAAATCTCACACCTTTTGTTCATAAAGGCTATCAAAGAGGTACTTCCCTTTTTCTTATTTTCTTGTAGTGCCAAAGAAAACATGAGATTGAAGATCAGTATTAGATCTTTCCCATTTCAATCATTATCTCAACAAGGATATTTCTCATTCTCTTTTTTTTGTCCTGGAGGGCTTTGTACTTACATCTTGATAGGGTCTTCCTTGCTATGACCTGTGCTGGAGAGAGGGACACATTTATTTTTCTCCTGTGTTGCCTACACTTTGAATTCACCATTTGGCTATGTCTTTGGCCTCCTGGTCTTGGTACCTAGAGGAAATGTTGCATGCCAGCATGTGGACAAATTCAAATACTCTTTTGCAATTTTCCTTGCATCACATTTCCATCTCTTCAGTTTTGGAATTCCATCTGCTGTCTGTGGTTGTTCTTCAGGCTTGATGAATTCCTTAATAGGTGTATTTTGTTTGTCACTTCTGCCCAACACTTGTTCACTATTTTCAGGACATTTAGGTTTGTGCATGACTTGAACTTATGCCAACAAAAATAGGAAAAAAAGAATCATTGCATATTTCTCTCCTTCTTTGGAGATTTCTGTATTTTATATGAATTTGTCCAATTAGGACTTGCATATACATTTTTTTAATCTCTGTGTTTGTCCTCTACACAATTTCACCCTCTTTACTGGAGCTCCATGGGAGAGTGTTGCTCTTTGGAAATGGGTTGAGGATGCTATCTGGTGGCTGATGATGTCTTAGCAGATATCTTACCTACCTCCACGTGTACATTGTTTCGTGATATCAAAGATATCACTAGATGTCTCCGCTCCAACAAGTGTCAAAATCATCCATGTTTTTATTTTTCTTTCTTTCTTCCTTTATTTTTTGATGTTCCTATTGTACTTCCTCAAATTGTTTAACCCATCTTTAAGGACTACCTTGGCCTTTCTTCTGTTCATCCTGAGTACTTTCTAATTTGACCAGTTGTCACTGGTCACTTTCATTATGGATGAAGAAGGGCTACTCTCATTGTAGTATGCCTTTTCATAATAAGTGTCTGTGTTGCTCCTTGGAGAACCTTCCTCTGTAAGATCAAGACATATCACTCCTCCTACATCTTTATGCCATCACTTGTATCCCATTTTTGGCTCCAAAGGTTCCATACACCCTTACACCTCTCAAAGCAAATCCCTTTGCCTAAAGAGCATCATGGGCAAATAGGTACCCTGCTGAAAAGAATGTCTTCTTTTTGAATGTTCTTTAGGTCCAATATTTTTATAAGGCTGGTTTTCTCAACTCATTCTCCCTTAAATCCTCAAATATGAGTTATGTGAGTTATTTTCTGGTTCTGGATTCTGCTCGACTCTTCTTGGCTACATATATTTTGTAGCCTAGATTATTATTAGTTTCCTGCTTTGTAGCTTTTAGTTTCATATTTTTGGTTTATTTTCATTCATAATCAGTTCCCACTTCCTTTAAAAAGCAGCTATTCTAGTTTTCAATATTTGAGATATAATTCTACCTTATTGGAATTTTACATTATTGGAATTAAAATGAATTTCAAACAGGTATTTACACCTGAAATACCTTCCCCCCTCCTCCTCCCCAGAACTGAATTTTCATCACAACTGTAACTTTCAATAAACTCTAAACTATATTGGGAAAGCAGAGCTTATGTAAGATCTCTTGATGCTTGCACAATAAGTCACATAGAAGGAAGAAAAATGGAGAATTATGAGTAAATAATGCATGCTCTGCAATGTGTAAAGGACATTCTGAAATTTTTAGTCACCTGTTTTGTTGACAGCATGAATTCAAAATGAACAAGGAAAGGTTTTCAGGATTTCAGAAGCCTAGTGGTTAGAGTTCTTGACTCGAGATCTGTGGGTTGTGGGATTGAAACCTGTCTCCAAACATACTTGTCCTTTCAGACATGGGGGTATGATAATGTGATGGTCAATCCCACTTTCTGCTGGTAAAAGAATAGCCCAAGTGTTGGCAGTGGGTGGTGTTGACAGAGGTAAGTACCCATTTGAAATTCATTTTACTTCTGAAAGTGTAAAATTTTCTGTTCATATGAAATATTAATATGCCTTTTTGGAAATAATGAGCCTTTTGTTGTTATTATGAATTACTAATATGCTTTCTGGATAATACTTGTTTACTGTCTCATAGATGTGAGACAGTAATTCCTTTTTTAATTATGTGGAATACTTTTATATCATTAGAAGTATACAAATTTTAATGTAACATATATAATGCACAAAATATGATACCCTTTGCACAACACATAATGCATATTTCCATATAAGAAGAATAGATGGACAAAATACAGTTAAGAAATGTATGTTTTTACAATAGGTAAGAATGTTTATAAACTGTTCACTAAATTTTATGCAAATAGATATAGCAACTTAAGTTAAACGTTTCTTTTGATTATGGGTGTAATTTTGGCTTCAATAGTAAAAGATGGAAGATGGTTGTTCTATAACCTGCAAATACACACCCTGTGATTCAATATCTTTCTCGTTGAAATGTTAGGGGGACAACCCCTACTGATGAAAAGTGAGAGGGGAATATTCTTTCTATTCCCTGTGTAAATAGTGCATATGTTTTTGATTAAACATTTGAACTCTGTGTACAGGATATCTCAGTTGTGATGAAATGAGCTGCATGACATAGTAAAATAAATATTTTTTGGTTTAAGTGTTAAATAAATACATTTAACAGCAACTTCATAAAATATCTTACTTGAACCTAACACAAGTTATTGGGCTCATAAATTTTACTTGTTAGTCATAAGAAAGTTTTTACAAAAGGAATCCAGGTTTATAAAATGTTTAAAAATGTTCACAGGTACTGCTGACAATGTAGATTGAAAATTACATCATTTTTATTAATCAGTGTATTTGATTTAAAGTTCTGCTATGAATTCCATTGTCATTGTTGGAGAATTTTGTTTATTTTAAAGTTTCAATTTTTTCTTACCAAAACATGTTCAATTATTTGTCATTCTATTTTGTATGGTTTGTGTGGTTGGTAACCAAAAAAGACTAGTGCCTGTTCTTTGATTTTTCACATACTCTTTATACAGGTTATAGAGGGCAGTTAATATATCTTTATTTATTTAAGACTATTATTAATTCCAGTTTTCCTACTGATGAAGGAGAAGATATAAAGTTAAAATTGAGAGTTACAATGGTTGGATGGAGTCTTGATGATTCTTTAGTCATTACTGCAGTGAGTGATCACTCAATCAAGGTTTGGGAGTCTCAAACTGGTACTTTGAAGCATGTACTTGATGTAAGCAAACTGATTCCTTACTGTAACCTTATATATATGTGTTTATACAAATTTAAAGTGCACACTTTTAATGTCATTACACTAACAGAGAGCTTGAGAGACTTTTGATCCTTATGATTATAAGACACTTAAAAATTGTTAAAAATATTAGTTTATTATGTGCATAATTAAAAAATGGCTGAATATCAGAAGTGTCATTTATGGATTAATAAGAAGTTGTAGTGGCTGAATTTATTATAATTATTGTGTGTGTTGCCAATGAAATTTAGAAATTGTTTAAATAAGAAGTGATAAAAAACTGATTAAGGTAGAAAATATTGTACAGATGTATATTAAGACATTATCTTCATCCCCGTAAGAAATATTCTGTTTTTTTTCAGTGTCATGAAGATGAAGTTTTTGTCTTGGAAACACATCCGAGGGATCAAAGATTAATGCTGAGTGCCGGTCATGATGGGCGTATTGTATTATGGGACATAATGTCTGGAATTGCTATCAAAAGTTTTTTCAATACAGTAAGTCTTTGATTTTTTTCCAGCTGAATCAAGGTCGGATTAACCCGTTCATAGAGTTGTCAACTCTCCAAATATTCTTCTCCTATTCCTACTCTGTTATTATTTTGTTTTGTACTCCTGGGTACTGGTAAATGGTTTTGCTTCAGTTTCACATGTTTCAAAGTCATGTGTGAACTGTCAGATTGAGTTAAACAGTACAAAGACCAAACTCAGATCTGTCTTAACTTGCTGTAAAGTTTTGCTAGTAGTATTCATCTTTGAAGGCTGAACTTCCACACAATAATCATTATTGCACATTCTAGTTTGACCAATGTAGCCCTTAACCCCATCTCTACCACAGAGTTCCTTTCAGATGTCAAATGAAAACCAGCATATCATATTTCAAAATTTAAGGAAAATTAATGATTATAGGCTAATGTTTTTTTATGTGAATGCCTTTTCTAATCTGGAAAGGTATGATCATAATTAATTATATATATGTCATAAGACATTAGTATTGGACTTGTTATATTTTTTAAACACTACATTATTTATTCAGTCCATTAATATTTCTCAAAACAAAGAGTGTATAATAGTATTTCAACCACACAATGTCCACCATATCCACTGTCAATGATGCATTTTGCTCTATAAAAAGCACATCATGTTGGCTGGTTCACAACATACACAGCAGTGGGCAGTACACTAACAAATGGCTTATATAAATAGGGTTCTGACTACTGTTGTCATTGTACAGACTTTGAATATAACTATAAAAATAACTGCTGCCAAAATGCATCCTAGAGCACTCAAGCCAACCAAGTCTAGTGAATGTTTAGAACATGAAACATTAATTAGCAACAAGGTTTTGATTTTTAACTCTTGCCTGGAGCCCTGAATACCAGGCATACTGCTAGCATTGTTATAGCTCAGACCACAACAGTTGCTGATATCAGTACAAGCCCCTGAAGAAAGAATGTGATGGTTCTCTCCTGGTATTCAGCATGATGGCCATAAATGGATATAAATTTCAATTGTATTTCCATGTTTCTGCACATTTCTGATCATGAATGTAAACTGGTCAGTGTGAGTTAGGTAAAAAGTGGAATCCACAATAATATAATAGTACTCAGAACATTTAATTTATGTTTTTGCTGGCAGTGGTACTTTATTACACCTTAGCTGAATGAATTTATTACAAATCATTAAAGATAAATAATTAGGCATTTCTTTACCAGCATTTACAAATTTGTAGAGGTGATTTGATAAAAGTTGATCAAAGCAACTGATGAGTTCAAGGCATTCAAGAAAGTTGACATTTTGGGCTAAAAATATCTTTTTCACCATAGGAAGGCAAGCTATGTTCTATAAGAAAGCCAAGGTGTGTGTTACAGTCCCTGTGTGAGTAACTTCTTAGGTATTCAGGAATTTTTTCATGAACAGGACAGTAAGTTTATCCAATGTACAAAACTTCACAGATGTTACACTGAAGTTTCTATACAACATTTTTAACAGCACATGAGTTTTTTTAAACCTGAATTACATACTTTACAATTTTGATATGTCCAGGATATTTTTGAAGCACTAGTGGTAATTTTACTAATAATTCTTTTCACTTCTTCCCTAGTTTCTGTTTTAAATGTACATCAATATTACTTTAACATGAACAATACACCATATAAGTGTATGGAAATGGAAGTACTTAGATATACATTTATATACACACATACACGTACACTATATAAATGTGTATAATGTATGGAAATGGAGGTATTTTTATACATATATCTATATTGTTATATATATCTATATAAGCCCGGCAAATAAAGCCAGCAAAAAAAGATAGAATTGCAGAGATAAGCAGATAGATTGAAGATAGAGATAACTGAGTCAAGCGAACAGTAGGCACCGTAAGTAAAGTTTGTGAATCACTGTGATTTATAGCGTGTGATATAAAGGTTGTTAAGTTTAAAGTGACTGTGGAAATTAAGTGTATTACAAAGTTTGTAACGAGAAAGAATAAACTAGGTTTAATCAAGAAGAGACTTGTATCGCTGAAGTCACTTGGAAAGAATTTTGACTGGAAATTATCAAACAAGCAGATACGTAACAATATTATACTTTTTGTTTCATAATTTACTAACAATCTTTGATATTTTTATTTTGTTACGTATTATCGACTTGTCTCACTCTGTGTTTGCTTGTCTTGTTTTTGTGTTCTAATTTCAATTGATTCACCACCTTAGTAAGTTATATTTTGTTCTTTGCCTGAAGTGGCCCTAATACTGAAACATTGCAAAATAAATCGATTTAGTAAACATGTAGAAACAATTTTTATTTAATTCTTTTCATTGTTTAATTCTATTAATGAATCTCTTTCTTAAAAGAGCACTATCTTTAATTGATAAACAAATACCAAGTTAATTTATTAATTAATTTTAGTGATAGCTTACTCAGCACACTTACTCCCTTACCAGTCTGGTCTTCAATTAGTGATACAACTTGTGTCATGTGAACAATGCTGCCTCTGCATTGATGTAACAAGTGCTCTAGATTTTTCAAATGAAGACAGTAAGTGAACATGTTTTTAATAAAAATGACTTTGCTGAAAAAAGTTTTAATGTCATTTAGTTGAGTTCTATCAAGTGTAAACCAAAAGCTTGTGCATTTTGGGCCTCGTGACAAATTTGTGCTCTAGGCATGTGCTTAGTTTGCCTATGTGTTAATCTGGCGCTGGGTTGAGTCAATGTGTTATCAGCTATTTTCTAATAGATACAAAAAGGCTCTTATTTATCTCATTAACTTTTGTTTCTCTTCTTCTTGAACTTGGTCTCTCACTGTTTTCCTCATTTTATAATAGGTCTCAGCAAATCATTCTTGAATATCCCCCGACCAGTGAATTTCCTGATCCTTCCATTCATCATCTGTTACTTTGCTAGCATTTTTTATTATTAGGCTTGAAAAACAGAAATGATTGAACTCTGCTCTTATATTACAATAATTGTGATTTTTTTTATCATTGTCTAAGTGAAAGTTGAAAGAATTCTGAACTGTTGATTATACTTCAAGTAGTTTTGTAACCTGTCATTATCTAAGATGAGTAACAATTTTATTCTAGCACCATAGCTGACTTTATAAGGATATATTATGTAAAGAGTAGAAAATATTCTATAAGTATTATAGTTGTAATTCAAACCTTTTCAGTTCTGTGATTACAGGAATGGGTTTCAAAGACCCACCTGGCCTGGTATGGCCAGGTGGTTAGGGCGCTCGACTTGCAATCTGAGGGTCGCGGGATCGAATCCCCATTCCACCAAACATGCTCGCCCTTTCAGCCATGAGGGAATTATCATGTGACAGTCAATCTTGCTATTCGTTGGTAAAAGAGTAGCCCAAGAGTTGGCAGTGGGTGGTGATGACGAGCTGCCTTATCTCTAGTCTTACACTGCTAAATTAGGGAAGGCTAGTGCAGATAGCCCTCATGTAGCTTTGCGTGAAATTTAAAACAAACAAACAAACAGAGACCCACCTTTATATGAAAATACTCAAAAATTATTCCAAATATTTTTGGGATAAAATAATTTTAAAAAATTGGAAAGCCAAAAGTTTAAAAGAAAAAAAAAGATGAATATCTAGAAAGTTTATTTATAAGGAATTTGAAAAATAAAGCCACAAAATTAGGCTTTGCAAAGTGAATCAATGGAAACTATTATTAATTTTTAATCTGTTATTCCTGGGAAGAAGATACTTGTAACTGAAGTTTAGAAAATATGGTATAAAGAAGTAGAAATGACCTTATATGTCCAGCATATCACACAAAATTAGAAAGTTCTGTATTCCAAAGTGAAAGAGTTTTAAGTCAGTTGTGATTGAACTTATGTGCTCTTGTTTCCTTAAAAAGTTTTAAAGTTAAAGGTTGAGTGTTAAAACAAATTTTTCTTGTGGTTATAAGGTTATTTTTGTTTCCTTATATCCCTTGATTTTTTTTTCTCTTACTCACAGTGGAATTACTTAACCCAGTTACATTAAACTTAAAAAAAAACTTATTTAATAGCATCTAGTTTTGGTTTTAAAAAATTCATATAACATAACAGTTTTTGTATCATTTTTTTTGTTATAAAATTTCAAACATTTTGTTTTGAGATACTGTTTTGAAAAATTATTAAAAATTCATCTTTTTATTTTAGAATAAATTTTTCTTAACTATCAGTCAGGAAGCTCTGTTTTATACATCCAGTCAGTTTCCACTTCATTATTATTCATTAACATATTTCTTTTGATACTTGGGCCAGGTGTGGCGTTGTGGTTAGGTTACTTGACTCGCAATCTGTGGGTCATGGGTTTGAATCTCATCACCGAACATGCTTGACCTTTCACTCATGGGGGCATTATAATGTTATGGTCAATTCTACTATTTACTGGTAAAGAGTAGCCCAAAAATTGGCAGTGCATGGCGTTGACTAGCTGTCTTCCCTCTAGTCTATCACTTCAAAGTTAGGAACAGCTAGTTTTGTGAGAAATTCAGCTAACAAAAAAAGTTTTGCTATTTTTGTTTAGTCAGTTACATTAGTCAACACTTCTAGCTATAAATCGTGAAAAAACACATGAAGTAACAAAAATTTGTTGGTGACCTAAGACCTGACCTTTCAAAGTGGTCAGACTAGGCAACAGTATCTTTCTAACAATGTTCTTGGTTGAAATCAAGTTATATCTAATAAAAATAATTTCTTTTTGATAAAGTATAAGTTCTTTTATTTGTGTGCATTGTTTTTATATGATAAACTCAACAATAATATCCAAAAATAAAAATTTTGAGTCAACAGGATATTTTGCTATCACCTACTGTACTCTCTGGCCCTAATAAAACTTATTTGATGTATTATCATACAAGAAACTTCCATAGGTTTCAAACAAATGTTTGAAAGTATTATGTTGTGCATAGATGTCAGGCATTAAAAAGCAATTACTATTAGTATGAAACTGTCACTCTACTGTTCTTTAGATTTAAGAGAACAACTAAGATACTGAGTTTTTTTATAGATTATATTTTATGATCACAGCAGTACAGAAACTTATTGTGATTATTGAAAGCAGTAATAAGAACTTTTAGGACAAAAATTTGCTTATGAACTTCTAAAGTATATCCTCATTTTTAAGAATTTCTTTTTTTATCATTAGTTATATTTTTATCTAGATTGAAAGACAAGGCCATGGAGCTGTATTTGATTGTAAGTTTTCCCCAGATGGTCTAATGTTTGCTTCTACAGACTCCCATGGGCATCTAAGCATATTTGGGCTTGGTTCAAGTGAACGATATAAGAAGGTAAAGTGTATTTTAATAGTGCCGTGTTTTTATTTTTCATTTTGTTATCATCTTATTGAAGTAAGATAATTTATGATATTTTTCAGTCCTTCTGTTTATCTTTTTTTTATTTATTTGTTGTTATTAGTTAAATCTTTTAAAAGTTTTATTAAAATTTTTTATTGTTTAAGATGAAGCCTAGATAAATATTTTAGTTTGATTTTCTGTGAATTTATGCTAATTCTATGGACCTTGCCAATAGCATTATCTAATACTCCCTTCAAAAGCATTAGACAAGAAGACTTTTAGAGGCAGTGCTAAAATATTTAGTTTAACTAATTTGGAAATTTTCATACTTCAAATAAAAAAAAAAGGTAGAAACTGACAAAAATGCTTAGGAATGATGGAAAGTTACGTTATTGAAGTCTCAGCCACTATTTGTTTTGTATTATATGTGAATAATTCATTTTTATTTAACATAAAATTTTTTTAAACAGAAATTAAACCCCTTTTTTTACTCTTTTAGGTGCCAGAAGAACAGTTTTTTCACACTGACTATCGTCCACTTATTCGAGATACTAATCAACATGTACTCGATGAGCAGACCCAGTGTGCTCCACATTTGATGCCACCTCCTTTTCTTGTTGATATTGATGGAAATCCTTACCCTCCAAATTTGCAGAGACTTGTACCTGGAAGAGAGAACTGTAATGAGTCACAGCTTATCCCCTACATTGCTGTTTCAGCAGAGGGTAATGATGGTTTCTTTAATTGTAAAAAATATCAAAGTACTTAATTTTATGATTATAAAGCAAGTTAATTTTTGTGATATCTTGAATACCATAAAATACTAAATTTATTTCTCTCTTCAAATTGTTCTGATCTTTATTTTAATTTTTACTTTAATGTTTGTTTGTATCTTTGTTGCTGCAATTGTTAAAGAATGTTAAATACATTAACCTGTTACTTGCCGTGGCCATTTTGTCTTATCATGAGGGCAAAATCATATTTGCAAATTGAAAAAATTTTAGAGAACTTATCTTTTATTGGATTGCAGATTTTATTTTTGTAAATAGTAGCATAACATTCAATTATTTGTATTATTTAATGAAGTTTAAAGAGGAATTTAATGAAAAAATCCTAAAATACGTTTTAGACTGTAAATAAGTGCCCTCTAAGAAGAAAATAAAAATAAAAAATTTCCTTCCACTTCAGCACTGGTCCTGCCATCTATGATTGGTATCTAAACTTTTGTCCAGTCTGTTTTCTTTATAAAACTGCCTGGGCGTGTTAAACCTCAGTTGTAAAACTTTTAGCCAATCCTAGTTGAAGGTGTCAATTTCAGTACTATGTTATTCCAATCGCTGTATTTCACATTTGACAAATCATAGGATGATAAGGAAAGCACGTGATGAAACGTTCTCTGGATTTTACAATATGAATGTGGATGGTGCTTATTATAGTAACTCCCATTTTATGTAGAGGTTGTATTTAGTATTGGCTAATAGTGCTTTTCTTTTTTTTTCTTGCTTCTGGAAAAAAACTGCATGTGATATACGTGACTTTTATTATTTTTATATAGTAGCTTAAGACATGCTGCATTGTATATCTATTTATATTAATCATTATATTGAAAAATTAACTCAAAATAGATATATTTTTAGGATAGAAGTTGATCCACGATTGTTAGAGTTAAGAGCTATCGAGTGGCAAGTGCAAGGTCTTTATATGAATTAGGCTTAGCACTTTGAACTGAAAGAGTTTGTGATTTTTATATTCTTTTGCATTTAAATTTGTAGTTTTAAGTTCAATAATTTAGCACCAGTACCACATAATAATTTTATATTTTTCCTTCTTACAATCTTTACTTTGTAGTAAAACCTACACTTCTGTTGTTATTACTTTAGATTTAAAACTGTCTAACAGATATATATAGTTTATTCTAATATTTTGA